ACATTTTTGTAATTGTTTCAATATTCTTATTTTCACCAATATAAGAATTTACTATATAATAATATACAACGTGGTACTAAATTATTCCTAGACCGAATATTTCTTGTAATTGTACACAAACGTGATTGTTTATGTTTTTCTGTTTCTCACTAAACAAAGCTTAGGTTTAATTAATCGCACGCGTATAGTATCTTTTACCTTAATTTACTTTTATTTTCACTAAGTTTACAAGAGTTTCTAATGCATCTGAAAATCAAGCTGCTCAGAGATACTGAAAGGATTTAAATTATTATACATTGTTATTCTTTGATCTCCTTACTATGAAGAATTATTCATTTAATAGATATAGAAGAGATATTAATAATATGTTCAGAATTAACATTGAAAAATGAAATACGTACACATCGTTTACCTCCTCCAATTTGGAGGTTTCTGAGCCGATTTTGATTTCAATGTTAGCGTCGTTCCTAACTCTGTTAGAATCCACTTCACCGTCCGTACTATTACTATATGTACGGCAAATTGTAAAAGAAGAGCTCCAAAACCTTTGTATAAACCAAACGGGCCTTCGGTTGAAAGTATTGTATTGTAACAATCCCCTGCACCACTGTACCCAGTTAATAATGGTGTTACACTTCGTCCAGTGTCTAGATTATCAATAATGGTACGTGTACCCTGAAGGTGAAGTCTGTGAATCACTGTTTCCCATGGATAAAACAATACATCTGCCATAAATGTAGAGATCAGGGTAGACTGTAATTTTATATCTATCATAAACTCGTCCGACGATAGAGATCTGCTGTACGCGCCCTTGAAACAACATAAATTCATAGTTGACGTGTATGTACATGTACATGTATATATACGTATATATGCTGCCGAGGGATTACTTACCCCTAATTCTTGAGAACGTTTTTGCCTACTCTGCATAATATAATGAGTAACTCGTTGGACAGTCATGGTAAAAAGGTATTTTGAAACTCCATAGGCGATAGTTGGTGGTAGAAGAGCATATATAGGAATTAATCTACCCTTGTTGCTTACTTCAACTAAGCGAATAGCACCATCTTTAAAGACATCCAATATACCAGGACTTTCGGATGCAATTTCAGATTGCACTGTTTCAACTAATGACGCAGAGTAAAATGGTGTAGTTAAACCTATGGAAATACTGTGGAATTTTTCATTAATATCTCTCTCTAACTCTCTGTAACTAGATTTAATGTACAAATGGGTTGTTTGCCAATGTATTATTACCATTTAAGAAAGATATGTTGACCAAATGCTTTTAAAGAGCTGTTACATGAAATTTCCCTAGAA